CCTGAGATATTTCCTCAAGAATTCCGTGCCCAAACCCACCTGAGATATTTCCTCAAGAATTCCGTGCCCAAACCCACCTGAGATATTTCCTCAAGGAGTCCATGCCCAAACCCACCTGAGATATTTCCTCAAGAATTCCATGCCCAAACCCACCTGAGATAATTCCATGCCCAAACCCACCTGAGATAATTCCTCAAGGATTCCGTGCCCAAACCCACCTGAGATAATTCCTCAAGAATTCCATGCCCAAACCCACCTGAGATAATTCTGTGCCCAAACCTACCTGAGATAATTCCTCAAAAATTCCATGCCCAATCCCAGGTGGGAATTTTTGGGATTGGGGTGTTTGGGGTGTCCTAGGAAGAGTTTTTGGGGTGGAATGGAAAATCTGAGAGTGCTTTAGGATGAATTCCAGAATATTTTCCAGGAGATGTGGGGAAAGGGAATTGGGCACCAAGAAAAGCAGATTTTTTGGGAAATTTAGGAACCAGGAAAACCAGCTTTCCTTGGAAATTGTGCACCAGGGATTTTCCCTGGAAAATTCCTGAAATTCCCAATTCCTGAGAAATTTGGCACAAGGAAAACCAATTTTTTCTGGGTATTTTGGACACCAGTAAAAATGTTCTCCTGGCCATTTTTCTCCCCATCATTCACATGGTTTATCCTGACTGTTCCCATGGTTTATCCTGACTGTTCCCGTGGTTTATCATGACTGTTCCCGTGGTTTATCATGATTGTTCCCGTGGTTTATCATGACTGTTCCCGTGGTTTATCCCGACTGTTCCCGTGGTTTATCCCGACTGTTCCCGTGGTTTATCCCGGGAAAGGGAATTGGGCACCAAGAAAAGCAGATTTTCTGGGAAATTTTTATTGGTGTCCAAAATACCCAGAAAAATTGGTTTTCCTTGTGTGTAATTTCTCAGGAATTGGGAATTTCAGGAATTTTCCAGGGAAAATCCCTGGTGCACAATTTCCAAGGAAAGCAGATTTTCTGGGAAGGAAAACCAGCTTTCCTTGGAAATTGTGCACCAGGGATTTTCCCTGAAATTCCCAATTCCTGAGAAATTACACACAAGGAAAACCAATTTTTCTGGGAAATTTGAACACCAATAAAAGCAGATTTCCCTGGATTTCCCGGCTCTATTTTTTTGGGGGATTTTCTCGGGATCAGCTCCACTCTGGAGCTCCCAGGGATCGCTGAGGATTTGGGAATTCCGCAGGACGCCGTGAACTGGCTGGGTTACACCTACCTGTACATCCGGATGCTGCGGTCGCCCACCCTGTACGGGATCTCCCACGACGACCTGAAGGCCGACCCGCTCCTGGAGCAGCGGCGCCTCG